AATTTTTGTATGTTGTACACCTGCATCACAAAATAAAATATTCAAACACTTCAAACATGACAAAAGTCAGATTTTGATATTTTAGCATAGAAAATAATTTTGTGATCAAATATGCAATAACATATTTAAACAATTCGTATTTTATTGTTTATCGTATTTCATAATGATAAAAAAACATGGTGAAGACTGAAGTTTTTAAAAAATGACGCTCACATTTAAAAATGGGCGACAAAGTAGGGAAAATTTACCTTAAGCTGATTTAAACCACAGGTCAAATTACCATTTCCCTTTTTTGTCGCCTCCCAGCAGGCCCACGACACTAAAATTCTCGTTTCGATACCTGTGATGGGCAGAGCAAAACTAGCTCATGAAGTATAAAAGTTGGAAAAGTGTACTTAAAGTGTGCACGTACAACAATGAACGTCAAATCTGCTACCCCAGAAAGTACTTAGATTAGCTGATTGCACCAATTATGCCCCATACTTTGGCTAACCGTCACTGCTCGCGGAATTAACCATGCTTTTTTATACATTATGCTGGAAACTGTTAACAAAAGCCTTAAGAAAGGCAAACACCGAATTTGGTGACTTTAGTAACACGTCCAAAAGGGCCTAGCATGGACTAGCGGTTAGGGTGCCGCAATCTACGGGTTTGTAGTATCGAAACCCGTCATCGAACATTCTCGTCTTTTCAGCCTTGAATGCGTTATAATGTGACAGTTAATCCCATTGTTCGTTTGTAAAAGAGTAGCCCAACTGTTGGTGGTAAGAGGTGTTGACTAGCTGCCCTCCATTTAGTCTACCTCTTTAAAATTAGGGATGCCTATTGCAAGTATGATACGCCTCGAGTAGCTTTGCGCGAAATTCAAAACAAAGAAAGACCTCTAATAATAATCTCGGGGCCATTTTGTGTTCAAAATATGTTTCTTTTTGCAGTTGAATGCATTATATTCAAGAGTCGTTTTTAACTGAAAAACGCTATTTAAAAATGTAATGCACACAATCCCGCATTAAGGTAGTTTTCGAGGTGTGTTCAGTTGCATAAAGGACCAGTTAAAGCAGAGATTCTTAAACTCTGGTGCGTATAGCAAATGTCGGAGGTACACGACACAATTAATATAAAAAAATCATAAGATTTGTAATAAGCCCTGCTACTCTCCTCACTTATGGATTCACCCCTACTCGCCAGTATTTTCCTCCCTTCAAATTGACAAAAATGGTACCACGTATTCTTCAATCGTGCCAAAAAAATAATCGCATCTTTTGCATTAATGAGTAAGTGTTTAAAATATGAATTTTTGTTACTAGGTTTTGTCTTTTTTTTTAAATTTGGTCTGGTTTGTAATTTTAAAAAATTAACAAAAAGTGGTAAGCGAGCCTGAAACGTTTGAGAACCACTGAGTTAAAGTAATAACCCAAGAATAGTAAATCTGTGTTAAATTACTTCATGGCACGACAAAGCGTCATATATATATATTCAGATGCTGAGCATTACTGTTATTTAAAGCCTTTTTTTTTTATAGAGTTACAGAGTTTCCTGCAAGATGAATAATGACACCACTGTCACATCTTTTATGTTGTGTTCAGTTAAAAATATTATTGAAATTTACAAGTTAAATGAAATTTTAAACACTTTGTCACTTGATATTTAAATCTGTTGTTAACTCTTTCCACTTATAAATGCTGTTGAACCTTTACAAATTAAAACTAATTTTTAAACCTCGGCCATCAAAACTATCATTTACGAGCTAAACCTATCAGATCTTCAGCATTTAACTGTTATCAAAACTTTACTGCTCCAGATTTTTTAAATCTTTACCAACTAAAATTGTTTTAAATATTTACTAATTATCCAGTTTTACAAAATTTTCAACAGCAGTGTAATAATTGGATTGATTGTTGTTAAGCACAAAGCTACACAGTGAATTATCTGTGCTCCTCCAGTATCGAAACCCAATTTTTAGCTTTGTAAACCTGCAGAGTTAAAGCTGAGCCATTGAGGGCGTAATATTTAGAGGCGTTGATCTATCTTTTAGTTTACTTAAGACTATATTGCACCAGTTATTCAGCCTTCAGATAAACCCCAAAACGATTCTTTATCTCAGTAAATAAAAACGTTTTAGTGTCCTAAACGACAATTGCTTCTACGACAGAGAGAGAGAGAGAAAAGTCAGTTATAATTGTAACTTGGGGGCAACGTAAAGTTTTAATCAGTTACTGCAATGCAAATAAGATCGCTGTTTTTTACTAAATATGTTTGTTTGCTGTTAAGCACAAAACTACACAATATGTTATCTGTGCTCTGTCCACCACCGCGGGCATCGAAACCCAATTTTTAGCGTGAAAAGCCCTCAGACTTACCGCTGAGTGCCGCATCGGGAGTGCCACTAAGTATGTAAATAGATTATTTTAATTTTTGTGGCGTTCAACTCTCCTCACCGTGTGAACTTTTAAAGATACATTTGATAATGAAACAGTAAAGATGCAAAATGTGATATTGAACTAAGTGCAATAAAAACTATGTTCTTATTATATTACGACTAAGATCATAGCATTTAATTGAAAGCCACAAGTTAAGAATACCTTCATTTGTTTCTACTAAGAAAACAGATTTTGTGATCTCCATTATAGAAAAAATCCTTCAAGATAGTTTGATAAGTTAGCACTTATCCAAAAAATTAAATATTTTGTTTTCTTAACCTCTATATTTCATACATGATGCGTGGTAACATGTAAATTTGATATGAGACTGGTCTACAGTCTAAATACAAGTAGTTTTCGTTGTGTGAAACAAACACGTTGTTATTTAAGTTTATCTATGATTTTACATAAGTGTCCATAGAATAATTTTGATCGTGACATTAACAAAAATATATCGGGAAGACAAAGGAATAAGTTGAAGAATTGGCTACTTCAACTGAAGCGAAGTGAGTTGTAACATCGAAGGTGAAAAAGTGGATCATTCGTCACACAAGGAAGAGCGACGAATTTTGATAATTATTGTTCAACAAAACAAGTCTACAATCTACATTTGTTAAAAACAAAATAAACTGAAGAAATGGAATGGACATATTGTGAAAAAGTTTCATGGATAAGAACTAGAAGAGAGATTGGTAAGTACAAAATGAAATGGGAAAAAATATTAAAAAAAGATAATCAATTATGTTAGAGATTCTTTACCTAATTCATTTAAAAAATGCTCATAAAATTAATTCTAAAACTACACACGAATAAAATGTTATAATAAATGCTAAACAAACAGAAATATTAAATATAGGTTTATGTTTCGTGTGTGTATCTAAATAAGTTATCAAAACGATAACAGAAATACTTTAGGGACTTTCAATTACATTTTTAGACGCATTATTATAAATACTGAACAAAATTAAGAGACTACAATTTATCATGTCATACAAAACCTCAAAAAATATCAGCTTTCCGAATTTTGTGTGTATAAATCTATAATATTGTGTGCTAAACAAGAATTAGATTATAAAATACTATTGTTGAAACGTTACTCAGATATCATTGATATAGCAGTTAAGACGTTCTCGAAACAGACTCGTGATAACAGTAATTTCATGAAAATATCTGAAACTCTTAAAAATAAGGGTTAATTTTGTTATATAGCTTGTATCTCTTGCTAAGTTTTAATATATTTTAAAAAGCAGTAAATATTTTACCCTATTTAAAAACCCGTAAATAAAATAAATCAATTGTTAAGCAAAGCTAAAGATGGTGTGGGAAGATATAATAGGAAAAACGGATATTTTCAAAATAATTTTGGAATCCAAAATATAGATTGGATGAACATAAGTGAGAGATGCGATATTCTGTAATAAACATGTAAAATAAGGTATCACACGATATAAAAAGTGTACGAGAAGCACGTAGAGACGATGTAAGACTGTAGAACTTTTTATAAAGAAATGTCTATTGTGTAAAAGAAAAAAAAAAAGATTTGTTTTTATTAATGAACTGGACCGTTTCATTTCAATATGTACAACAGTGTAGTTAGTTTTAAAAAGATTTTCAAAGTAAAGATCCTCAGCTTAATGATTTTTGGTTTGTTTCGTATAATCGCGAAAGGCTATTCACTAGACTAGAGGGAAGGCAGTTAGTCAACACCATCCACCACTAACTCTTGGGCTATTCTAATATATAGAATAGTGGGATTTGACCGTCATTACTATAACGCATCCATTGCCTCACGGTATGGAGTTTTGTTTGGCAACGAGACGCGAACCATGGACCCTCGGATCGACAGCCATGCTCGCTAACTACTACGCTACAGCAGGCCCGAACCTAATAGATCCTTAGCTAGAAAAATTAAAAAGATATTATAAAGTTTTAATAAAGATTTTCAATTCTGAGAACACACTGTTTTATTACTGAAAGCCGAGTCGTATTTAGGTGATTGGATATTAAGATGCTTTTTGGGTTTAATTTGACCCTTAATTCTTACCTTACTAACAGTAAGAATATTTTTTTAAATTTCTTTTTAAAGGATTTTACGTCAATTATTCTCACGTATTATACTAATAACATATTTCAAGTTCTGCACTGCTAACGTTGTGTAGCAATCAACAGTGAATGACGACACAACCTTTGAGATATTTATATTAATTTGAAACGCTGACAGACTTGTATAATGCGACAGTATAATCCCACTACCAAATGACAGTAAGAAACACAATTTTTTGTGTAGGCATTACATCCAAGAAGTGTTTTTTCGTTTTGTTTTTTCTTGAGTTTTTGAAATGTAACAATTACAACTGTAACGTTAATTTTACAAATAAAATATCATTTATATTAACATATTTACACAAGTAATTATTTACCAAGAGTTTAAATGCCTTCCAAATAAATGTTTGTAATTATACAATCATGTAGCAAACATTTACTAACGTTACGAACCCTCAACAGAAGTATCCACGTGACAAGATGCAACAGCAGCACAGGAGGTGTGTTGACAATTTTCTTTTTATTCACAGACTTGAACAATAGTACACCCTTGCATATTAATTCGTTTAGCACATATACTTAAATAATTATTTTCTGTTGAATTACAGTTCTCAAATTTTAAAGCTCCTTCTTGAACGACAACAAAACAAAAACATAGTCAGAATTAATGAGGTAATAAAATTTACCCTACGGCGCTTGGTAGTTATAGCTTAACATGTACGTGATACAGTTTACATTCTGCCTGAGCTGACATTATGGCACTACCGTACAGTTAGTGTTTCACACTCTTCTTGATCTGTAGACTGTACCTGCTACTGTGAAGTCTGTTTCTTAATATGAAATCCAGGTAATTCAACAGAGCACTTCAAGCGTAGATTGTATATATATTTCCTTCTTTAACTTCTGAATATGTTTAAGAAATGCAATATCACCACATCACGAGAAACACATTTTTGTTTTTAAATGAATTCTATTTTCTGTTAAGCCTCTAAACAAGTTAAGAAACAGAACAAAATATATGTAAATTCTTACGTTATTTTAACCTCTTTATCAAATGACCTGCGTCCAAGTTTCTGCTTTGATTAAATATTGAATTAAATTAAACGACATCAGAGCAAATATTATAAAAGTTTAATATTAATCGTAAAACAACAGATTTTTGCATTAATTATTCGTTATACAAATCAATAAACCCTAGTACAAGAAATATTTCCTAGAGAATTTTGTATACAAACTTGACTATTTTGGCATAATATCATTACAAACCCTGTCAATAAGATAGTTGAAAAACGTAAAAAAACCTAACAAGAAACCCAGAAGTTACGTATCTCTTAACTAACGTATCGTCGTTAAGATCTCGGTGATATCTAAACATATGTGCACCATCTGTAAAAGCCAACACATTCATTTTCCTCAGTGACGTGTTTAACAAAGCAGGCATTTTCAGATACTTAAGTTTAGGGAATGAATAGAAATAGTAACTTCGAATAGAACCAAAATCACGTACATTTCTTCCTCATTTCTCCTATAAAAAGACTTATTCTTACTTTCACTTGTTTCTTATTGTGAAAACGTGATATTCAGCGTGTTGTGTATTTTTAAAGCTAAAAATGCACTCATTAAAACGACACAGAAAAAACAAAATATACTACTTTAGAATATTAGATTGGATACTACAATCATTGAGGACAACAGCAAAGTGGAAACACTCATGGTCCTGGTTTCTGCTCAAGTCTTGCGTGTTGTTCCCCAATACTACACTGTAATGAGGATAAGCCGACCTTACGCTGTTTTTGAAGATAATCGCACCACACAAGTCATGCACACATTGTAACGTTTATCTACAAGATAAGCATACTTTCTGTGGCTGGTTGTCTGGTGGAGTCGCTCACGTACTAAAGACAAAAACATCATTGGAGCATGGCTGCTATATACAGATATATTTCTATTATGTATTTGTGTGCATACATACAATATTATGTACAAGAACAGCTTCAAGAAAACACCTAGAAATAACTAGATTATATGTAACATAAGTTGTAACATTTGATTTACATCAACTGAATTCTTGAACAAAATTAGTTTGGCCACAACTTGACGAGCACAGCTGAACGATACTACTTTCTCATGCCACTCTGTAAAACGATGTCCACCCAAGACAGATCTTCTTATTAATTTCATGGTCACTTGATCACAGTGTCCACTACTTGGTGTCCACTAAGGAACTACGATTAGTGGTCATGGCCGCTGTCTGTGGGGGCAATGGTGGAGTGTTTATAGAAGCAGGAGAGTTCACACTAGGGGGCTCACTCTGACTGTTTTCTGAATCACTACAGTTCTCACTGCTGCTACCTTTTTTCTCTGTGGTGTGTCCGTTGTGGGTCTTAACGTGCTTGCTCAAATGGTCAGACCGCATGAAACGCTTATTACAAATAGGACAAGCGAACCGTTTCTCCCCAGTGTGGGTCCTGAGATGGCGCTGGAGCTCGTCTGATCTCGTGAAACGCTTTCCGCAGAACAGCCAGTTACACACGAAAGGCCTTTCACCGGTGTGCCAACGAAGATGAGCTTTTAGATGGGATGTCTTCCCATAAACTTTTCCGCATCCCGGAATATGGCAGCTGTGGATGTTTTTCTTTCTTAAGTGGGCTCCTGCTGGGCCCAGTCGCTCCGCTTCTTGACAGTTGGGACAGTCGCACGTGGCGCGCCCAGTGTAACGTCGTTGGGATCGAGGGGACGGTACTTGAGGGAGAGTGGGCTGAGACAGGCCAAATGGTGAAGTCATAGAGGAACCCATTCCTTGAGCCGTGGGTAGCATAGACTTGTAAGTGTCTTGAAGAAGGTGCTGTCCGGGCGTTAATAGGTGAGCCGGACTTGAAGCTGCTGCCAAGGTCGGTGCGAAAGTGTAGTCTCCCCCAGCATAATTAGCGGGAATCTGCCCGTGAAGAGCCGGAGAGGCACCAGACATCTCGAACCACGAGCCAGCTCCTGCCGAAGCTGCATGCATGTCCCACCAGGTCGTGGAGTTGACCGATGACACCTCGGGTTTGATACCACCATGAGCGGCCCCAGCCACGTTCATGTTAAATGGCCAGCTTTCATAAGGATGAGCGCCCATCCCAATTCGAGAATACATTGTGCCTAAATGTGCAGAATCTCCGTGGACTTTGCTAAGAAGGGTGGTCTGGCCAGGATCTCCCTGTGATGATGTCATGCAATTTCCTGGGTAAAACAGGCTGTCCCCGCCGTATGAGGCGGTGCTACAAGATGACGTCACTACGGGCCTCTGGTAATTGAGGGCTGGAGAGTTGCTATTGGCGATAGTGGAAACTCGCTGGGAACCCAGCGTCAGACCGGCGGCTGGACTACCAGTTGTCTGTGGACCTTTCTTCCAAGGATGGAAACCCTTTCCAACTGCGGCGTCGGCGAGCGGTGGCGGAGTCTTGCTGGCGAGCTTGTTACACTGTGCTGCCAACATGGCAAGAGGCGATCCTCCCAACCGTGTATGTTCCTAGCGAGAGAAGGAAAAAAAAACAAAACAAGGAATCTTTATTAATTATTGTCAAGTTCAAACAGAAGAATCAAAGCATTTATTTTAAGCACTATTATTTGAAAACAATAATTATTCCCATAGTGAAGACAAACCAATATGATAGCTAGGTGTATAGCACAGAATAGTATAGAAAAATTATTATAAAATTGTAATAACTTATCCATCGCTGAATTGTTTTGCATGTTTCATGATTTTGAAAAACGTAGAAAATCACTCACAGGAAAAAAGAAAAAAGAAAGTACATTTCAAAGTGTAATACAACACTGATGCTGTAAAATTTACTGTACAGTTCGAAAGCTAAAACCACCTTAAAACTGGATATTTACAAAAATGCGTTTCTGGGAGAAAAAAAAAATTCTTCAATTCCGTTTTACAGTTTAATCTGCACTTTAGTTCCAAATCTGTTGGTGTTTATATAAAATGCGGCTCTTATAACACAGAAAAAATGGTCATGGTGTTATTTTGATATCTGCTTTAGATGTAAATATATAGAAAATGCGATATTTATTGTCAGATCTGATCAGATATAACAGTACAAAACCCTGTGTTATTGTCAGATCTGATTAGAAATAACACAGCAGAAAAATATAGTTTTACTAGCACATGCCACTGACACATTATCATAAGAAAATGTGTGTTAGAAATAAAATCGACGTAACTGTCATATATAATCTATGCTATAAAATGCGGAATTATTGTCAGAGCTGATTCATGTGTATTCATATATAATCTAAACATACTATGCTATAAAATGCGGAATTATTGTCAGAGCTGATTCATGTGTATTATTATTATATAAAACGTATACTGTCAAACCAGTTATAGATTAAAAACACATTAAAATATAGTATTATTATGAGGTATAATCTCTGCACGGTATTTACATGTGTTATTCTGAAGTATAACAGACTAAGAGAGTGTAAAGTGTTTTGAAAGTAACTCTGCTACGAATGTCCAAAAATTCCTTGTTTGTTTTATTATTAAACACAAAGTTACACAATGGGCTAGCTGTCCTGTGCCCACCGTGGGTATCTAAACCCGATTTTTTGTGTTATAAGCCCTCAGACTTACTGTTAAGCAACCGGGGAGGGGTGGCTGAAAAATTGAGAGATAATAAGACAAAATCAAACACATTTATGTAATATTAAGTCGACACTTAAAGCTCGTGATAACGTGAAAAAAAAGTTTAACAACGCGAATACAAAAACAAAATTCAGCTATAAGTACTTAAAACATTCATAATCAAGATGAAAGATATTTAGAACATTTTTTATTACCGATAAGTGTACATTTCTTGTGTATTTCATGCCTCCTATTCATTTCTATATTAGTTTTCGAAGCTGATATAAAAGAGTGTCCCTTAATGCTAAACCCAACAAAATTGGCATGTCCCTTAATGCTAAACCCAATGTTGGATAAAGACTGGAGTGATATGGTAAGACGTCCACATGTCACGCAATGCACTAAGGGTTTTCTTTCTTTCTCCTCTCTTGCTAACATGAAGCCTATCTATCTCTCTGGAGGAGGTAAAAGGTGGGTTTGACACATGGGCGTACACCAAGGAGACTGGCTGTAGTAAATATATGCATGCGTATCTTAATTTCTTAGCAAAGTCATTATCGTGATTTATACATCGTCACGTACATTATCTTTTTTTAATCCTTGACAGTTTCCTTAAGAAGAAAATAACGTCAAGAGTATCTGCTAAGGTTAGGGATAGGCTGTAGGACTTGCTTTGCAGTTGTTTCTTTGCAAGGTTTTTATTAATTTTCACTATAGTATCTACTATGAATAATGCAATATGCATATCAAAATACAACTGAAATGAAACATTTACGGTTGCCTAAACGTATATGAATGACCTTAAAAAAAGCGTAAATAAAACAAATAAAGTACGAGTACTCTTAGCACTAAAAAAATTTGGAAGATCACTCAAGATTTCGTATCGTACTATAATATAGGTTAATAGCAATACTAAAATTTTAATAAGTTTATACATCAGTAACCTTTAGGTTAAACCAATAGACGTACGATTACGTGCCCATTAGAAATACGAAACCAACTAGACTTACGAGATTCCTCGTAATTATTAATTTGTTATATAATTACCCTATATACCTTTTCAACGTACTTTGATATCACTGACACATACAGCTTCTATTATTGAAAATATTCTGCTATTCAGTTGATGTTAACAGCATACAGCCGAAAATCTCTTTTAACAGCATAGATACCCAACTGAGGAAACAATGCATTTTAATATTTATAAGTAAGAATATATGAGAGAAGGATACTTAATAAAGGAGTGATTTAATTTAAATGTTTTGTCATATACTATCGTTAAACCTTGATAGAATTACAATAGTAATGATAATAACTCAAAATGATACGGTAACCAAAATTAATATGTAGTTAAACTGAAAATGCAACTTACGTTTTGGATTTTTTTTTTAATATGGGAACTCATTTTTTTTTATATTCTTTTTTTCTCTGTTACTAGTTGTATTAATTTCACATAAATATTAATATAAACCTTTAAACATTATTTTCGGGATATTTTTCTATGTTTATATTCGTGCAGACTATTATTAAACCGATAGATGGCATTATAAACGCAACTTTTCACTTATTTGCGTGCTGCAATGTAATAAATTGAACTTAACTCCTTATGTTTTCCCTAAGGGTGTTGGGTTTAGAGAACACGTGTGTGGTTTAGGTGCCAGGTGGAACGTATTGACATCACTGAGTATCCTCTTATGTACATTAAAATATTCTGCCTTACTGGAGTATGCTGAAAAAAACATTCCGATTCTCTAGAAATTACCGCCTTGGCCAGTTTTAAAATGATCAGGCGACCAGAACCTGAACTTAAGATGAAACACCTGTATTTAAGTAAAGCTAAGGCATCTCGTTGACAACAAGGGTTGAAATTATTAAATATTCAAACATTAAAATAAGAGTTGTTTTTTTTTATAAAACGAATAATCTTGAATAACTTATGAATAGCACGCACAATTTAACTATCGTCACACATTAGAAGTGGCTAACATTCAATGTGTTATTTTGATTCCAGTCAAATAGAATGGCACACACAGAAAGAAAAAAAACGTGTAAGTTGCATGTTATTTATTAATAAATTATAAATATTTTGGTTCAGAAGTCACCAATGGATATGTAACATTATGTTCAAAAGAATCCGTGAAGAAATAACTACTGTTGAATTCAACGGGAAACTATCACTGTTTTTTGAGTTAACAATACTCCAGTGTCATAGAAACGGAACTGAAACCTTATTGTTCTAAAACTTAAGCATACACCATATAAATAATGTAGTCTCAATATTTTTTTTTTTTTTTAGAATTTGTAGTGCATGCTAGAGGGATTTAGACATTTCGGCAATAAGGTTAGATATTAAAAAAAACTGCCTTTACTCTCTAGATAATAACAAAAACAATTTTCATTTCAGCCAACGTTTCGCCATTGCGGCTTCATCAGGGCTAGAACTACAAGAACTTGTACTATTCATCCTAATGAAACTGCAGTGTCGAAACTTTCACTGAAATAATTTTTACTGTTATTATCATCTAGAGAGTAGATTGTAGGCTGAAGTTTATAAACACACGATTTGTTTGTTTGTTTGAAGTTAAGCTCAAAGCTACACAATGGGCTATCTGTGATCTGCCCACCAAGGATATCGAAACCGGGTTTCTAGCGTTGTAAGTCCACAGACATATCGTTGTGCCACTGGGGGGGGGGGGGGGAGGGGGCTAGTAAACACATGGATAAACGATTAGTGGCTGATTTTATATGACAAAAAAGAACCAAGATCAATCATATACACGTGCCCAGTAAGTGTAATATATTTTTGATAAGTTAAATTTGAACATTAAATCGTCTATTAAACAACGTTTTCTCGATAAGATCGGGTGGTTGTACGAAATTATGTGGTTGATTTTACGGACCATAGTGTAATTAAGAAGTGTGACTTAATTTCACATTACACGTTAATAAAGTTAAATAAGCCGGTATGTCTGTGGACTTACAACGCTAGAAACCAGGTTTCGATACCCGTGGTAGGCAGAGCACAGATAGTCCATTGTATAGCTTTGTGCTTAATTACAAAACAAACAAACAAAGTTTTGAGGCTCCGAAAATTCAGAGACAAAACAGTTATTAATTTATTTTTCTAGTAGCAACATAAAATGTAATATATGCTTACTTTATATAGCTAGGTTTAACCATCTCGTTTAGCAAAAATAACGCCAAGAATCACCCATGTAAATTCCCCCGAATCTGAATTTTGTGTTTGTCGTGGAGCAACAATGGTAGTCGTGGAGCAACGTTGTGTATACATCGACAACAGGAAACAGAGCCGGTGATGTATCTCCGATTCATAAACATGAAACGTAAAAACCACGCGAAATAGTACTTTCCATGTGGTGCATATATTCGCAACACAGGACTGGTGTTTTCAAGATACAAAATCAGATGACAGTATCATCAGTTTGTTTTTATTTTTATATGCGGGATTAAAATAAATTTTTTCGTTCGTTTATAGTTTTAAGCTCAAAGCGACACAGCTGGCTATCTGTGCTGTGCCAACCACGAGTATCGAGCCTCGGTTTTAGCGTTATAAGTCGGGAGACTTACCGCTGAGCCGCTGGAGTGGGGGAGACTTAAAATAAAGTAACTATTATATTTTACTAGATTACTCAATAAAAATATTTATGTGAACAACTTTTCATCAAATCAATTAAAATATTTCACTTGCAGCGTTAATTAAAATTCAAGCTAACCAACTTATCAGTTTGTGTATTCGTAAAGAAATCTTTAGGTCGAAAGGAATACAAGTAGTATACTGATGATTATAAATAAAGTCCAAACTCCGGTCCAGTCTCGCATCATTTCCCCTGTTACTTAATTATTTCCCAGTTTTTTTTGTTTCTTCGAGCTTTCTG